TGAACCAGGTTGTGCTCATGAATAACAGAGTGAATAATTTGAACTGTACCAAAATCCAGATCAAGAGTGTGGATGTTTCTGAAGTGATGACCGACTGATACACGCACACTATTATAGCAAAAATATTTTTCGGTATCATGAGCAATCAAATAATACCAATACTAATTACATAAAATGTCTACGATCTACAAAAAATGACCGATGCATACTCCATTAACAATAGTTCTAAAACATTCCAACATAGGACCATACATATAGTTTCTTTCATATGCTATCTGAACTTTCACTAATTCTTTGATGCTCATCAATTCCTATTTAATGTGTTGCTAATTATACTTTGTCTCATTTCTATTCTCCTCTCTTCTTTTCACGGTTTTCTTTCGGGCAATTAATTTTTCATTTTTTCAGCATTTTTATCTTCGTGCTAGTATGAAGTACTGATGAGTGTTTCTATTGATATAGGTAACACGAAATGTATGGGCCAATTAACTCTACATTTATGTTGATTACTTATTATATATAAGTACATCACTTTCACTTCAATTTATGTTATTGTAGTTTTCATTCAAGACTTTATTTTCTGTAACAAACTTCTTAAAACACTTTCTGCTCGCTTATAAATTCCAGGCATTGTTTCTTCTCGGGGTCCAGCAATGTTTAATATCTCAATTTTATTCGTCAAAAGCCATTCAATAATTTTAGTTTCGTTTACACTATTGTCTTCTTCATTTAAGTTAACCATAAACAATGGTTTTTTATATTTCTTGGTCATATCAATTGTCAATTTTGAACCACGATCCAGGGCATCTTCACCTCCATCTCCAATGATCAGAGTTCCATTTGAATCTCGTACATTGAATTCTGTTCGTTGTGAATATTGATCTGTTGATGTTTCTTTTAAATTTGCATATTTAATAGAATCAATCATTCCATCTTCTGCCTTTCTACCACGAGGACACCATCCACCATATTCATAATTTAGTTCAATAGCCACATCCAAAGCAGATCGATCAACACCAGTTTGTCCGCCAGTAATAATCTTTTTTAACATTTATCTAAAAAGAGTTTCATTACAAAGTTGAAAACCTCGAAAGATATGAGAATTATTTATTCTATTCTAAAAGCTGAAATAAATGTATACAAGTTCAAAAATCAAACATTCTATTATTCCTTATCATCCTTTTGAATTCTACTTCAATTTTTTGAACAAATAATATTTAGACTTTGATGTACAAAAATAAAAATGGTTTGTTTTCAAATTATTAAAATGATCATACCTTTGAAATGAGAACAAATCGAAGGATTTTTATAAAGCTGATCAATATATCATACAGAGATGAGTTAAACATTTTTGAAAGAATTTTTATTTTCCATAAAAACATAAAACAAGATAATTATGAACAAAATAAAAAGACAGTTTTTTTTATTTATTATAGTTAATACTTTCGTGAAAAACATCACTCTACTTAACTTGTGAGATGTTTGACTACCACTGAATGACCATTTATATTCAATATCACTGGATAAAGTTTCTATATCTTTCAATGTCAAGAATATAACTGCCCTTGTTGACCTATTAGTTACTCGTTCTCTCTCTACTGACAAACATGTGTGTTTATAATCATTAGAAAACGATAGGAAGAAACAAAGAGAAAATGCATTGCTTTCTCTACCAAAAGAAAAAAAAGCAAATATTTTGCAATACTATAACACGTAGTTGAGAACAAGAGGATAACATCCAAGAAACCAAATTCATGTGCTCTTTGTTATCTAATTTTCAACTTAGTAGAATTATGTAAAAAATATCAAGACTTTTTTTGATTTTTAGATTATATATAGAAAAAGTATGTCCGATTCTAGCAGTAAATGTCCTGTTTCATTTACTGTTGTGTCTCCACATGGATTAATTTCAACTGCATCAAATCCTGAATTACATACAAAACAAGATATAAATGATGAACAACTTAATCAAAATGAAAGTAAATAGAAGTTCTTTTGCTTCGTTTGTTTTTAAAGCAATAGTTTTATATCCAAACTCGTTCAACCAAGCAATGAAAAATATCAGAAAATAGATTTCTTAAATAATAGACTATTAAAATATAAAATAAAAATGTTTTTTTTTCTGTATAAGACATTTAGTAGAAAACTCTTTTCCACAGATTCAATTGACTTAGTTCGATTTGTGTATTTTAATAAAAATAATGCTCAAAGTTAAAATAATTGTTCTGTATATTTAGAATTATTAACAAGTTCAGTATTTCCATTTCAACGTTCAATTCCTTCTGAACCTCCAATTGAATATAATCGATTACGAGCTGAACAACCAATATATCGTGCTACATTAATGAATGGTGATCAAACTTGGTTAATTACTCGATTTGGTGATGTATGTCTTGTTCTTGGTGATGATGAAAATTTCAGTAAAGTTCGAAGTTATCCTAATTTTTCTCAACAAAGTTACCAAGATATTTTTAATACTGATGAAGAACATGTTGGTTTATTGAACATGGATCCAACAAAACATATTATTTATCGAGAAATTATTGAAAAAGAATTTTCTATTGATCGAATTAAAGAATATGAACCAAGAATAAAAAATATTGTTGATGATTTACTCAATGAATTAAGCAATCAAACTCCACCGATTGATTTCGTTTCTCAATTTTCTATAAAAGTTCCTTCATTTATTATGTATGATATACTTACCATTAACAAAATTGATCATGAATTTCTTACTAGTCGAAATCGAATTAATAATAAATTGGATGAAACTCAAACAACTCATCAAGAATTTTTAGAATATATTAATCGTCTGATTACTAATAAAAAAGAAACGCCAGGATCGGATTTAATTAGTCGACTCATCACTGAACAGGTTAGTTTTTCAAAGAGAACCATACTTGTTTATTTAAATCGATTAGTCAATTGAAACCAGTTTATTTATATATTTCAACTTAAATCTGTGAATTTAAATCTTTTAATCTAATTAAAAGACAAAAATATTTGACTATGTTATTCGAAATTGACGTAGTCTATTCATTTTAGTAAAATAATTTTTAATATTTTTTAATAGTTGCGACCTGGAAAAATTAATGAAAAAGAATTAATTAGTATTATTTCACTTCTTCTTCAAGGTGCAAATGAATCAATGAAAAATTTAATATGTTTGGGTATTATTAGTCTTCTTGAAAATAGTGAACAATACAATCGACTTCGTGAAAATTTATCATTAATTGATGCAGCTGTTGAAGAAATTCTTCGTTATCATACTGGTTTAAGTTTTATTACTCATCGATTGACAGTGAAAGATGTAGAAATCAGTGGACAAATGATTAAAACTGGTGAAATCTTATTTGCACTTAATGCATCAGCGAATCGTGATGAAAAAGTATTTACTGATTCTGATCGTTTTGATATTTTTCGTCCTCCACAGCATCATCTTTCGTTCGGCTATGGAGCTCATCAATGTATTGCAATGCATTTCGTACGAGCTCAATTGAAGACTGTACTTCTTACTATTTTTCAACGATTGCCCAATCTTAAATTGGCTCAGTCTATAGATGATATTCAATTCGTCAATGAGCCTAATAAAGATATTGGTGTTAAAAAGATGCTTGTTACATGGTGAATTATATACTTGAATTCTACTTCGACCATATTACACATAGTTAAGCTATTGATTATTTTTTTGAGAAAAATATAAGGGTTTTCTGTAGTTTCTTTTTATTACAAAAACTTATTCTATGATGTAAATAAAGATTTGAGACTTTTAAACTTATATATTATATAGAATAGGTATTCTTGAACCATATTTTAGATGTTCATTGTTAAACTTCTTGCATTAAGTTAGGAATGTTAGTGTGGGCCTGGGTGCGACCGAGGATGTGAGTGTCAGAAATCGATGGAGATATTACTCTAACTAACATTCAGATCAGAGTTGTCACTGGTCAAGAATAATCGAACTGGTGCAGTCCTGCCGAGTGTAAAAGTTTTTCAGACAAGTAAAAACCGCTATGTTTCGGATGTGGGTGTGGTTCGGTTTTAAATCCATACTCAGGTCCACACCCACATTCTACCTTCCAAATATATTTAAAACTATTTAAATCCATTTAAATGGACCTAAATTGGATTCAGTTCTAGTCACATTGGATTACAACCCGATTTAAATGAATTTTAGTTTATTTATATTAATTTAAATTAAGTTAAATTTATGTAAATTGAAGTTAAATTTAAATTATCCACAATTTATTCTTCCATTTAATAAATTTTCGTAAATGTAAATTGATCACTCATACTCAGAATATTCATGTTTTCGTTCATTTTAAACAGTTTATTTAGCATATAAGATAAATAATGACACGAATAGTTACTGATAATATCTGTTGAAGAACTGATCTAGATAACTATGTATCGTTTTGTATAATCGCGCTACAATACATACGACCAATTCATAGTACATTAAAACTTCTTAAAAAAAATTAGTTGTTCTCGACATTTTCATTATCACATTTCCAATGTTCATGTCACTGTTAGTATAAGAATTACCTTAGTCAAATCTTCTATTAATCATTTATTTAATCTTTTTACTCTAGATTTGTTGCACTTATTTGTTATAGTTAAAAAAAAATAGATAAAAATATATTGAAAGTTAGTTTTTTTCTCGTTTATTTGCAAGTAAATATAAATTATATACAAGAATAAAACATATCTTAAATAACTAAATTTTTACCACCATAAATACAAATAACGATTAACGAATTTCATATAATAATCATCAAGTAAATTTTCTAATTTAATTAAAATATTTAATTCTTTTAAACATACTTTTGGTACTTTTGAAATATATAAAAAAAAATAATAAATGTTCTATTTTATTATTAGGTTTTGATAATAAAAATTGAATTATTTCTCCTATTTGTTTTCTATACATTCTAGCTTTAAGATATTCTAATTGTGGAAATAATTTAACAATTAATTGAATTTTATTCAATGCACAACAATCACGAAGATGAAGATTTTTTTATTTTATTTTGATTTGATACATATTGAAAAGATTCATTTTGTTCGATAAATTTTGAATTATTTGCATTCAGAGATAAAAAATTCAATTTTAATATATATAAACTAGATGTAAAACATAATAATTTCACTATTTCTTTCAAAGGAAATCCATAAGATTCAATAACTAATTTAGTAAGTTGTGTTAAAGGAATCATACAATTAAGAGTTGTTGAAATCGAATTCTCTGATTTTTTGAAATAATGTCTAATAGTTAATTCAGTAGCATTTGAAAAATAATTAACACAATTATTATTTGCTTGTTGTCCATAAATACAAACATGTTTAACTGAATTTAAATTCATTTCTTGAAAATATGGGGCAAATTTGGTTATCTAATTTCCAATAAAATATATAATCTTGTCTTGTACAAGAGAACAAAACCAAACAAGTTAAAACAAAAATGAATTTCTTTTTTACCAATATCGATCTATTGAATAAAAAATTCAACTAAACTTTCTAGCCGATTATGTTGATGTTTAACCATTGACTTTTAATCTAAAATGAAGAATTAAATTGTTTAATTAAATCATGATATTTTAAATCATTATTTTGTATAGAATCTTCATGATTTATATCCAATATACGTAAATATGGCATAGATAATAATATTAATTCTTCCCATTGTTTAGCATTTATATATGCTTGATCATAACATGTTGTTATACGTAAAATTTGAACATGATAAAAAAAATTTTTTATTATTTTTTCAAATTTAACAAAATGAATATAATCAAGTTTACGAGAAACATATTTTAAATATTTTAAATTAATAGAAGATAATTCTTCTGTTTATGTATCACGAGATTTAACAAGAGAATTAATTGATAAATGATGACGTTGAGAAAGACAAGATAATCAATTATTGAATGAATCAAATGGAAAACAACCATTTATGATAAAATATTTAATAGGATTATAATCATATTTAGTAAAATGAATCGATAATGGTGATTGATCATGTTTTATTTTATATTTAATTTTACAATAATTCAATTTCGATAAACGAAATTAAATAATTAAAAATTTTATCAAGATATTTAGTTTTTATATTATCAATAATTAATATACCAAGACAAACAAATTGTAATATAATACGTGGTGATGAGAATATAATAGTCAATAGTAAATGGATTTGATAGACGAAGTAAATTAATTCGATCTTTATTTGGTGTAAGAATATCTTTATAATAACATTCGAAATTTGATTTTGATATTGTTGAAATATTTCTTTTAATTAGAAGATTGGAATTGATATGTAAATTTTTAAATTATTTGTTAAGATGACAAAATCCTTTATAAATATGAAACATATTAAGATAATCAAAGATTTCATAAATAATGTCATTGGGTAAATCTTCAAGAAGAGATCTGAATGAAATAAAAGGATCAATGTTACATAACCAAATAGATATTAAATAACTGACTTTTTTATATTGATTATTGTGACTAAAAAAACAAAGAGAATATCAAATTTATTCAATGTAATCATAAAATATTACTTTCATTTTGTAATTTTCATTTTTTATTATTATTAAAATTCTGAATCGTATCATTTTCTTGCCTTTTTCTCCCTCCCATGTTTAAGATAAATAAATGACAATGATACTGACTACGAAAAACCGTTTTCGAAGTGGATGACAACAAAAACGAATGCATATATACACGTGGTAAAACAAATATACTATCTATTTCTTCTTGCATACACAATGAACAGAATAGAGATAAAAATATTTATATTCGAAAGAAAATTGATTTTATGAAACATTTTTCTTATTGTCTTAATAAAACAATTAGTAACAAATATGAAATCTGCTCGGAACATAATTATCTTATATATTGCCATAAGTCCTTTATATATCAACATAGGATAACTAATGTTTCAAAAGTTCTACAATAAAATTTATTTTTGTTTTAGCATTGTGATAGAATATGACAGAAATTTTATTTGTTTTTTGTTTTGTTTGAAAGAGCAGTGTCTAGTATTACAAAATGTAAAAGAATCTTTTTTTTCCTACAAATAAATTTATTTGACTTTTTTCGTAAGCTACTTTCGATATTTTCGAGATATATGTGTATATATATATATATATATATATATATATACAGATGTTTATTACAATGAAGATTTTCGTATGATATCAAAACAGATTGTCCATGGTAGATGTGAGTGAACAGCAAAAGTTGGATTAAAAAACTCATTTCAACGTTTTGAACACAATAAAGGGTATGTTCACATAAGGTAGTTTTTAGCCCACTATTTTTTTGATTGGAAATATGACAAGGAGTTGTCAGAAACAGGACATAGGTGTGGGTGTCTATTCTTCAGCAACATCCACATCCTGATTTATTGATCGAAACTCTAGAATTAATAATCAAAAAAATGGTTCAACTGCTCGCAGTTTGAAACTGAATTTTTATGAAACGCTCAAATGCATTAGTTGACTCAAACATATTGTCGATTTTTGAAGTCAGAATGTACTTATCAGATGAGAAAATATTTGACTTGAAAGCGATATCATACAGCCATCCGTACTCTTCTCACATAGTAGTTTTGTTTCAAGTTTTTCTTAAGTAACATCGATACTATCTTTTTTTGCAGTTATTTATTAGAATAGAAAGTCTTGTTCAGAAAAAACAATTTTATTATTTATTATCTAAATATTTATGAAAGAGACATTACAATCAGAAAAAAATTGCTGTTCTCTGTGTATGATAGTAATGATTTTTCATAGATAAACATCAGTGGATAAGAGTACAAGTGATTAGCATGGAAAATACAAGTCAATGAGTCTTTAAATTTTCCATCTGTGGTCTGAGCACAAAATGTTATGGCTATACCCAGTGACGCAGCCAGAAATTTTTTTTGGGGGGGGACCGCAATAGAAAAAAGACATTTTTTGACTAGCAAAAACGAATTAGCCTGTACCCCCCTCCAGGCATTTCGGTCTTTCGGGGGGGGATCGATCCCCATAATCCCCCCCTGGCTGCGTCACTGGCTATACCATTGTTTCTTTATATGGATTAATGTAACCACTATCAGAGAATTCTTGTGGATAGACTTCATGCCAAACTTTGGTTAAACTTTGCAAATGATCAGGATGTGTTGCACCTAATGCTGCTGGATTGAGAGCAAAGCAAACGAATATTGTGCGAACACACGATTTCAGAATTGTTGTGATAATTGTACTCATGCATAAACCGATGAAAAAACTAATCAAAACTATAATAATAGTAGATCGAATTTGTTCTGTCGATTCAACCATCATAAGATACGCGATAAAACCTCCGGCAACAGCAGAAATGACACCTATTACGAAATTAATCATGAATAATGTAGTTCCGACGAGACTGTCATTGATAATCGCTGTCCAACCACGTGCTTGGAATAACGTGAGAAAACTTCGACTAGCTTGAACAAATCCTTGACCAGTAAGTGCTGCATAAATAAATGCCCATTCGTTGAGATAACCAATACAGTCATCAATCATTTGAAGAATGCATCCAAAAATACACGATAGAATACTCTTTCGACGATGTTCCTTAGTAGAAGAACGTAGAGATTTGATTATAGCTTCAAAAAATGAACCAAAACAAATAGTTCCGAAATTTGTCGTAAATGCTCGTTTAATACTTGTTCCGATTGTATATTGTTGACTAACTTCAATAGGAAACCACCAGTGACCGATAGAACATGCTGTTATAAAATGAATAATATTTCCAAATGTAACTGCGCCCCAATACCATGAAAATAATAGTAAAAATAGAATAAATCTGTGCAAATAAATACTATACCATTCTTCTGTAGAAGGATTCGAAGTTCGTTTTCTATTCATACGTTTGAGTTCTTCATAAAACGAATGGATGGTGTTTTTCCTTGTTTTTGAATTTTCAATCGTCAAATATGTTGTGTCATTGATTGAGTGTATTTTCGTATCGGTAATAGAAGTAGATGTCATTAGTCTTATAGGTTTTGTGTTGACGACAGTAAATGTTGTGGCGTTGTTTACATTTCTGATTGTATTAATTTTTATGATTGATATAGAATTATTCGAAGCATGTTGAATGCCAAGTACCATCAGGAACCAGAAAACAAACCATAGGAATTCCACAATGATCAGGACGAGCGCTATTAATATCAATGATGGATGACTATGTAAACCAGCACAACCTGCTTGTAAGTGAGCTTGGGCAAACGAGATTCGTTTTTGAACACACAAAAAATAAATCAACGTGAACAATAGCAAGATCCCAGGTGCGATCGCGAGTGGCCAATGTACAAGCAAAAGAAGTATTCCAAAAAGAACTTGTATAATGATCATTACAAAAAATGAGCATTTAATAAGCTGACCAGCACATAATTGTAGAGCAATAAAGCTGAGAAAAGAGACTAATCCACCAACCGTTGCTGCACCACCCAATCCGCACAATAATGGTTTGATGTCACGATTGGAAGATATTTGTTCCGATTTACCGAATGCATTATGCTTGATATAGGGAGCTATAACGGGTATGCCTAGTTTGATGCTCACTAATATGACAGCAATCGTATGAATCCAGAAGAAAATGGCAAAGCGATGATTTTTCCATCCACCACTAAAATCAAGTTGCGGATTTTGATACGGAGGTGGATCTTCATCTATTTTTGTTTCAGTTTCATTAGCAGCTTGTAACGGAAGATTGATCGCAACTCGTTCATTATACATAGACTTATCAAACATGACACCTTGATTATAATCTAAAGTAAATTTAAACAAAAGAGAGCAAAGGATCGATAACGTTCAGAAAACTGAATGGAAAAGATGTTTGATCAAAAATTGTTAAAACTTTTTTGAACTTGAAAAGTTAACGAAAGTAAGTTGCTCGCATATGATTATCCATGTTCGTCTTCTCTAACATATGTATGTTTGTTTGAATATCGTGTAGAAAGTTTTATGTCAGCTGTACTAATGATTCAAATTTCTAAATACTTTTTAATTACAGTTTGAATATTAAAGAACTTAATAAAGGAAAAAGCTAATAAATTTTAATCTCTCGATTTAAAAGCGGTATTTGGTCGAACTATCGATTGATATACTCTTATATTAACGTGATGGATATAAAAATGTTCAAAAACTTCAATTTTGACTCAGTAAAATTCTTTAACGAAGGTATATGCATTTTAATTTCGAAAATGAATTTTTTTTAGAGATATTAAGCTGAGTAAGAAAACCTTAGTTGATTTCGATCGAATGTAAGAGTGTCTATTTCACTTTAATGTTCAACGAATTTTAGGAATTTTGTTTTTATCAGCATATTATACACGTATGTGCTGATTGATAAAGAAACTATTGCTAACTCTTTCACAATCAGAAAAGTTGCACATAAGACTTCCTATTTCATTATTAAACACATAAAAACATATATAGGAATAGGATTTAACATAATCAACGAAGCAATGAAAAAAGTCGATGATTGCTATATGTTTCCTTTGCTTTTCAAAGCTTGAAAAGAAAGAGAATAGATGTTACTATTATGTAAGTTACAAAGATCGCACAGAAAAATACGAAGTATAAATTACAAATATGAAATGATTCAATCTTCATGACACATTTATCGAGAATTATACAAACAATCCCCACTACTAAGCAATCGAATATTTCAGTAAATCAAGAAGTAAAGAAAGAAGAATAATTCATGAGATGACGTGATGTAGATTAATAGAGGAAAAAAAATGTTCTGCTCTAAGCTAGAAGAAATAGATGAAAACGAGATTATTATCAGCCATGCGCTTCGAACAACCATTCGTCAATAAGCATTTCTGATCAATAAAGAACGCTCACTTGTTGACGATTCTTTTTGCATTTCTTCCCTAGCATTACTGACAACATCCACGATATTTCTTACAGCTTTTAGTTCGACGAGATGATCACTATATTATGTTCTTGTTATTCCAACTAGATTTTTTCATTCGTAAGAAGAACAGAAAAAGAAAGAACGAGTGCCGGGAGCCATTCTGTTGAGTAGTGTTGAGACGTCGGTTTAGTATAGACAAAATAACTTCAACAATTTATCGTGTTCTTGAGAGAATACTTTCAGTTTATTTAATGCAGTACTACTCCTATTAGCTTAGACATTCGTATTTATTCTGATGCTTCAACAACAAAATTGATCTTATTACACAGTTATCACTTGCAGATATGCGTGTTTTTTGCGAGCTGCTATTTACTATCTTTTTTTTCTTTATTCTACTGCTGATGTCTTTCTCGTTCTAACTCTTTTCTTTCCTTCTTTTTTTATGGAAAAGAGAGTGACACGACCTATTCGCGCGGAGAAAGCAAGCATGTAATCCTGCCTAAACATTTCCATGTATTAAGTGCAAAAAAAAAAATTACCGTAGTCATAATTTATGATTAATTGATTACTCACACATTTAAACACTAAGAGTTATTAAAACTTGTACAATTCGAACGCATTTTGGAGACTTACCCAATCTATTCTGTGATTTCAATGATATTGATTAAAACTTCTTTCAACAACTGAGTTCGATCATGCACACAATATATTACTTACCAAGCACCAAGTCGATTGAACCATACGATCAACTGATCAATTGCTATATGTCGTTTGACATTCTAAGACCCTATTGAATATAATTTTTCTTAGAGTTTTTCAGAATTCACTATAAATAAAAATTTGTATCATGGAATATCGAAATGCTGACATAAAATTCTTTTTTTTCCAGAAACTTTTTTCATATCGATGACGTCTGGGAAAGGTATTGCCTATTTAAAAAAATCATTATATTCACTTCATGATTAAAGTTTATTTCAATATTAAATTTACGCAATTTACAATGAAAAACAAGCTGAAATGATGTAATTTACATATATTCAGAGTAATCATGAAAATTTGTATTTAGACTAAAATTTACTTGTATAATACAGAAAGTCTATCTGGTGTCGAATACTGTTAGATCAAATGTTCGAATCCGCAGTTCGTCTCGTTTTTTTTCTCGCTTTTCTGTTCTCTAGACTTGTCTAGATAGGATGGACAGACGAAACGGATTAGCCATGATGGATGCAAAGACTTCTCAGACTAGTCCAAATATTGTTGAACGACGTTTTCGACTAGTCTTCCACGATGTCCTAAATTATTTTTTGCTCGCCTGGAAATGGAACTAATTAAAACGATATATTGATTGTTTTGATAGAAATATCATGACATTTAACGACGAATACAAATAAAATCAGAATAAGATTCATTTCTTTTGCATTTTTGAAAACATCTAAAATTTGTGAACCGAGATCGAATGTTGGTCGAATATGCTTCTCATTTGCAACTAATTTAGTAGACACTTTTAGACTTTCGCTAAAATATTGGATTAGATTAAGAGATTATTTTCCAAAATTGATACATTTAATTAAAGTATGGATTTGTGAAAGCAACTAAATGATCATTGATGAAATTAATTCTGGTTGAAATATAATATTCTCTGTACTAGATAATAATTGTAATTTCTTTTTAATTGAAGTTGCAGAAATGAACGAATGATAAGATTATTTTTCTCCATGATCAAACATGCTGTGATGATCTATATATTAAGCAAATACAAGTATGTCAATCGTCCGCAATATGAACCCATATAAATACTCAAAGATATTGCTAAAGATGACATATCTATTATTTTGTACTAGAAGAAACATTGTATCATAGTCAAAGTGAGAAACAATATCGACTATAAATTTAAAAAGAGAATAAATATTCGAAAAGTAAGTGTATCAAGATGAAATTACGAACAATTGAATTCACATTATTTATGTAGAAAAGTGAACAATCAGAACAAAAAGTTCAACAACAAAACCAACATTTGACTTGTTTCAACGATTTGTTCGATGAAATTCTTCTTCTGATTTGTCGTTACTTAACTCCAGCACATGTAATCAAAGCGTTTCACAAATATGATGAACGAATGTTTTCTTGCATATCAGAATATCGTCATAATGTGAATTTGAATAAATGTAACTATACAGATTCATTATATTTTTTGAAATTATTTCTTAAGAAACGACTTCGACCATCAAAATTGATTATTAGTAATTCAAATATGCCAACAGAAATCGAATTTGTTTTAAATGAACTGGATTTATTGTCAAAAGTCAATTTCAACTATGTTCATCATTTTTCATTAGTCGAATGTACTCAAAATGATTTCGAAGAAATTGATTCATTTGTAAAAATGTACAATTCATTACAATCAGTGACTATTACTAAATCTAAATCAAATAAAAATGAAGATTCAATGGAAAAATTCAACAATTGGCATGCTTCGTAGTTTAATATTCGATAAATCACTCAAACGACTCATCGAACTTGAATTAAGTACGATCGATGGTATTGTTCTCGATACACGATTGTCCTCACATAAGTATCTCAAACGATTAACAATTTCATTACAAAAAAATCGACGATCTCTTTGTTTTATCGGATGATCTTACACCGTCTTTAATTGTACTTAATATTACTCTATGTATATCTCATACAAACAAACGATTAACATTACCACCAAATTGGCCACAACGATTTATGTGTCATTTGACTGAATTTCATTTGATAGCCAAAATACGTGTTCTGTTTACTTTTGACAATTTACGTAGTATTGTGATGCTTATGATAAAACTTGAGAAATTGACGGTCAGGGTAAAACAATGGAGTAGCAATAATGAACAATTTGTAGAAGGAAATGAAATTGATATGATAATTCAAAATTGTATGTCAGAACTACGTAATTTTTATTGTTTTATTCAAACAACTAATGACATTGATATACAGGCATGAATTAATTGTAAATTTCTTAACAATATTTTAGAAACTGTTTTACTATAATATGTACAAAAATGTAAATAGATTCATAAATTTAGTTTTTGTTCTTTTGCTAGACTTTCAAAGTCTTAAACGAACGTTGGCTAATAGCATTTGGATCACGATTGGATAATTCATGCAAACATGTGTATACAATTCCATGATCATTTGAAAGATTGCAAATATCAATATTAGCTAATGATGATACAACGAGCATATGTCCGAACGTGCGACAATTGATAGTCAACATACCTTGTACGAATCTTCCTAATACTTATACACTTACAATTCTACATGAAGATAATCTTTCTTGTGATGAGTGTATTCAGTTTCGTCGACTTAATCATTTGACAACGCGTCATATTCATACATTGACATTATTTGAAATAAATGATTTATTGACTCATTCAATTATTTATTCTAATATTCAAAATTTGATTCTTAAAATGAATAAAGTCGATTCGCTAACCAGTGTCCGATCTCTTGTACAACATTTTCCAAATCTTCATTCATTCAAAATTTATCTTCCATCGAATGATGAATATTATGATAGTCTTAATCTTATACTCGACCGTGAACATTTACCTTATTTATCATTACTTAAAACAAATTGGATCAGTAAGGATACATCGGATATACGAATATGGATTAGTGCTAATACACCATTGAGATAGAAATCGACTCCAATTTATAGTGAATGTGATAATGATTGTTTGACGATTTGTTTGTAAAAATTTACTTTCTTGTTAATTATTGTTGCTTCTTTGTCTTAAAAAAGTCTTGAAATAAACTATTATTGTATAAGTCAATTTTATGATCAATCACAGTTGGAAGTTGAAATCGTGATAGTCTTGATTAAGATCGTTGAAATTAGGTTAGGATGTCGGATGTGAAGCGGCTGTGATATCCATGATAGAAATTTGGAAAAATAAAACCCACAGAGGAAAAAGAATTCAATTGATGATCGATATTGATGAAAATTGCATATCGATGAGTTTCAATAAGCATTTGACAATATTATAACCAGAAGAAGTTATGATTTTCTACGTTTCATCTTTTAATTTTGTCTGTATACCCAATGCTTATCTAACAGTGATACAAACTTGTTCGACTCAAGCAAAATGATCCCATAGATTGTTGAATTTAGCTCGATTTTCTTAGTAGTGATGCTAATATAGTCGGCGTTCTTCTATTTAGATTCGTTAACTATTCTAAGAATGTAATAAAATATTGTATTTGTTTAATAAGACCTGGTTGTTTTTTCATTTCTCACATATAAAATCATTACATGATGTATTCAAGTGATCAAATAATAATTCTAATAATGATGATACATTTTTAATAGATAGTTGAACGAAATTTGAAATATTCCTTGGATGTTGAAGACCCGAACGAATCGAAATTCATTTATATAGTATTAATTCCTATAAGATTTTCGATAAATTAAATGGAATATTATTTTTATTGATTAATGTTTGTTACAAGTGAATAAATTTAACATGAGTCGCTTGTATTTGCCAGAGGCTATCATTAATAAAAAGTGTCACAAGATCTTGAATTGAGCTCAGAAGATGATCATCATTTGCGCCTATTTGAATCCGAGTAATGATGAATTCGACAAGAAATATGGTTTGTTTGAACATTCTATTTATTTTATTGAATAATGAATAAATTTGTGCCTGCTCAATACTCGGTCAGCAAGAACTGAATAGATCAGTTGTTTTGAAATTTTCATGTAGAGGAATTTTGATCAATCAGTGACGGGTAGCACATTCAAATATCATGACAAGCCATTGACGAACAGTTTTGTTTGTATGAATGGAACCTATATTAGTGGGTGAAAGTTCTTTTCTTTCAAAACCTCAAAAAGTTAAACTTTCGTTAGATTCTATAGTTTGTAGCAGTGTACATGAATTGATCTCTAAAGAAAACTATTCATTTAATTTTTCGCAGTGGCAAACTCATCGCACTTAGTGTAGTTATTCGGAATACTTTTCTTGTATTGTCCTTTCATAGTGGCATAGGATATAGATTTTTATTTCGCAGCATATTCAAAAATGGTTTCGTTTGTTTTTGTCCAAAAGACACAAACAAGTCGTGAATCATTCATGGTTTATTCGATTATAGTTATGTCCTCGAATACATAAATGTATATTGAGCAAAAAAGTGAAAAGGCTATTTGTCTAATTATTATTATTATTCTAAGTTATCTTTGAGACTAATTGTTATATCTTGCTGATTATTGTTGATCATCTGTTCGAAATACTGTTTAATCCATGAACCATGTTATTAAAAAATCAAAAGTACCGGCATATATCTGATTCTAAAATAGTTTGGGATCGTAGCCATTGCTATAAATTTATATTCAAGCCTATATGAGAAAAGATATCGAAATTAGCCGCCATTCATAATATTGTTTTCTAATGGACAAAGCGTTTTTTTTCAAGAAGCCCGACAAGATGAGAAATGAATGAAAAAGTTGAAACTGACTGATACATTCGTATACAACTTTCACTGACAATCAGGAAATACTATGAAATTCTATTCAAAACTAATGATATTGAGTCTGATCCAAGTATAATAATTGAACGATTCTTGTCAGTATATTATTGAAATTCGTTGATCAGCTAATAGACTACAATATGACCTGGAGTTTGTGTCAACGACTATCGTTTTAGTTAATCATGCTGTACTTTTTGAATATTTTAATGGCAACTTTAAATGTCAGACCATGTAATCAATTGGTAGTGGATCTTCTCCATCTATGATCAGAGTTAGTGATTTCAAAAATAATACACTACTCAATATTTGGTTCTTCTCTAAGCTCGATGGTAGCTGGAGATTTCAACAAAGGCAATAATGTAGATGTGAAAGGATAGGAGCGTCGGTGCCTGTACTAGTTTTTTCTTCCACCACACTTCCACCCCAATATACAATGCATTCAAAGTCTTTTTTTTATTATAAAAAAAAAGTATCTTTTTAAATACATCAAAAACATATTTCTAACATTATGTATAATGAAGCAAATCATGAATCAGTATAACGATCAGTTAATTTAATACGTTTACGACTAGTTCTATGTTGCTGTGATACATTCGTCTTTTTCATGCCAAGCCATATGTGTAGTTCATAGGATTGTTTGCAATATGTTAAATCTCTTCGATCCGAAAGCCATTTGATGATTGTTTCCTGCCAATTAGATTTACCATTAAAAAATCGAAATGTAACACTTGACAAATGATCAAGTCGTTCGAGTACAGTTTTCATATCGTTCATTGATCTAACATCAATTTCCAGATGTTTAATATGACTAGGAATCATAGAACATAACTGATCTATGGTCTTGGAATTAGTCCTAGCAAGCCAAGGAATAATAATAATGAGTGAACAAACATTGCATGCTTGCTCTAATATGTTTAAAAAATTTGTTGCAATGACTTGAGAAGAATCTTGATGAAATTTATCAACCAATTTGAGATTTTTGAGTTGTGACAAATCGATTAGTGTCGAGATCAGATGAAGATAATCAATTGACCATGTACTATCAATTCGAATATCGAGATCGGATACATGATGAAATAGCCGTGTTATAGATGGTGTATTCTATTTTTGAATAGAAGATGATGGAAAAACAAAATTAGATCATTAGAACTCTATAAAAAAATATCCAATGAGTTTTAGAGATGACGAAAGGCTACAGTTTGACAGAAAGTCGAAAGATTTTTTTCGGAGGAGAAAGCTGCTCCTTCCTCTCCTTTATCGGCATTTATTATTAAATTTGCTGTTCTCAAGTTTGATGATATCCAGTTTCTTGAAAATATTGTCAACTTTGAATTCCTTTCTCTATATCACTGATCAAAATAAATCAACTGTTCATTGATTTCTCTTCTGTTTGAATGAGAAATTTTTTCTTCTAAATGGAAGTCATCAGTCAATTTAGATTATTATCTATCGTAAACGATGTTGATAACATCTAATAGAATTGTATCAGACTATTTTTCGTCTAAGAAAAAAATCTTAATGAACAGAATTCTAGAATTGGTTTGACTGACCGCTCTGGAAATTTATTTCTTCGGTTAAAGTATAATGTCGTAAAAGAGTACTTTAGTGAATGTCTTTTGAGTCAAATACTTATTCAAGCATAGGTCTAAAAAAGTGATTCCTTGAATTTCTTTTATAATTCAAAGAAAATTAAAATATTTAATCGACATAGAAAAATCTGCTCTACACAACGGCACGAGTAATATGAAGGAAAAAAAACTCTCACTTTAAACATGAAAATATTGGAAGTATCCTCAGTTTTATGATAAAAAACTCAAGCAGAAAGATAGGATCACTTTTCTAACTTTTTTTCGAGCCCTCATTTTTCTTTTTCTAGTTTTACCTTTTTTTTCTTATTTGCAGCCATTATTTCTTTTGTTTCTAAATAAACACTATGTACATGATCCATCATTGATATATCATTATTCATTTCAGTCACAGTTGAAAATGTAATTCTATTCGAATTCGGATGATATTCAAAGTGACGACCGATATAAGGTATTGAATAAAGTCGTATTTCATCATCTAGATGTCGAAAATCACGTGGTACATGTCGAATAAGATCACATGTAACAAACCAATGTTTGGTTTCAAGCCAGAATGCTGTTTGAAATGAAGCAATCAATCGTCGAATATTGATCGAACGATAACCAATATCAACTTTCTTATTAAAAACAAATTCAAATTTATTTAACATTAATAATTTTGTTTTAATAAATTGTTCCCATGCAAAATCAATTCGATCTACATCACCAATCAATCGAAGATGTGTTAATGAAGGTGTATTCGAAAGAATTATTTCAATTTTATCCATATCTAAACTAGCATTTTCCATAGTAAGTGATATTAATTGTTGCATTGGTATAAGATTAGAGATTTTAATAATTGGTTCATCATAATCGATTAAATTACAAAAATCGATAAATAATGTTTGTAGACAAGGAAAATGATGAAAAATAATCGAAAAATGATTTGAATAACAATCGAATAATGTTAGATGTTGTATTGTACATTGTATTGGCCAACATAATTGATCAGTACCATCTTCTATTACATTAATTGTCAGATTTTGAAGACTCGGTTGTTTAAGAATTGTCGAAAGAAGACGATTAGTTTTTATTGAACGATTATAAGTATCTTTTTGTTTAATTGATAACGAAATAAGTGTACAAGTAGTAATATGTTTAAGAATTTGTTTCAAATAATGTTCTTCAATATCAACAAGTGTTAATGAACAAACTCGTGTAAAATGTTCAATACGAAATAATGAAAAAAATAATTGAATTTGTCCTGGTGTCATATGTCCATCAGAAAGTGTAAGTGAAATGACATTTTCTGGTTGAATAAATCGGCAAATACGATCAAAGTTGGATTTTAATATTGATTCAAAATTAAGTTTATAACGATCGTAAACATTTGCAATCGTATAAAGCCGTTTGCATACATAACGAAGTGAAAGAATAATTGTCTGTTCATCAAGACTACTAAAAATTCGATGAATAAGTTCAACAGGTAGTGTATCGAGTGATGAAGTCAATGTAGTAGACATCAATAAGATGAATTTAAGAGGACTAACAATGCTATATGTAGAAAAGTAAAGTTTTCGTTGATGTGATTAATATTGTGAAAAGCCAACAACAAGGAAAGAAAAATATATGTTAGATGAGAAAAGAGGGCGTTGGTCAACAATCGAAATCTCGGAAAACAAAATCCTTTCAGATTTGACTTTGGTTTAATCTCATTAAGTTTTTCTTCCATTAAAGTAAAATCAACTATTTTCTTGCATGGTTTCTACAGCTTAAACTTTCAGAGTTCATACCTAAATAGATTTGAGAGTGGACAGGGCAAATATTATACGAATAGGAAAGCTACTAAGAAGAAATAGGAGAGTATGTGTGTGGGTGTGAGAAAACCGGTCTTCTCTTCAACCAAAACCACACTTCGAGCAAAAAAATTCAACTTTTTTCCCCTCATGAAAAATCAATATATCTTGATTAGATAATAAAAGTACTTCACAGAAAAAGAGTAGAAATTCTCATTACATTGAAGATTATTTTCAACAAGAACAGGCCTCGCAGCGGTCCTGATTTTCTGATTTTTTTCCTCATTTTTTGTAGTTGTCCTGATTCATCCTGATTTTTGGTGCTTTTCGAAACTAAGTAATTTCTCTAGAAAATTTCGGTTTAGTCTCAGTGGAGGCGTTTCAGAAATTCTGTCATGAATTGATGAAGATACTGTTTTTTCAATGATCGCGTTGTTCATCTTGTTTGAAGAATAGATAAAGTTCTTCATGAACTGAAAAATGTCGGTGAATGTATGAAAAAGTTCATCTCTTTTTTTTTTACAAGATTCATACAAAATCTTGTATCATTATTCAGTAAGAAAAAAAAAGAAAAGACAGGCACAAGTTAGTTAGTTAGTAGGTCTGGAAGTCGAGAGTCCGATGAATAATCAACTCTCTTCGTTGGATTGCTGTCGACGAATCTCACGAATGAACTTCTCAAGATGTCCCCTTGCTTTTGACCTGATATTTTGGCTATATCTTGGGACCTCTGGTCTAGAATTACCTTAAGTTGGCTCACTTGCCTGCCCATTTGGGCTTGATTTATCATGGATTCTGGACTTATGACCCTAGGTTATCTGGAACAGCAAATATGTGGATTTCGCCCTGAAATTTTGTTTATAAATAAATCTGATGGTCACGAGGATACCTTAAGAGGTTGAGACAAAACGAATGCATCCTTGAGATATTTCGTTTTCAAAAAACCATCTATTTCTCAGAAAAAAATTTACAAAAATAGGAATATTTGGATATTCAACATCTTAAGAAAGATGCATTCGTTTTGTCTGAAACTTTTAAGGTATCTTAGTGAACATTAGATTTATTTATAGACAAAATTTCAGATCGAAATGCGCATATTTGCTGTTGCAGATAACCTGGCCTCATAGGACTAAAATCCAATAAAGTGGTCATAACTCAGTCCTAAAGGCTTAGGCAAGCGAGCCAACTTAGGATTATTCTAGTCTAGTCCAGAGAACATCGTTGGGACATCATGACGATGTTCCAACAATGTCTGCTTAGAATTGACGATTTCTGTTGACACTAGACCATCTAGAACAAAATATATGTTGATTTTACGATTGCCTATCGACGAGCTGGTAATCATCACAATGTTTCAGCGTTTTTGTTTTGTTATTTCGCGCTTTGTTTAATTGTTTCACTAAGAGTTAAGCTAACTATGTTACGCGATTGTTATGCTTTCGAACCACTGAGGCAATAGGAGGACGATTTTCTCTTAAAATTCTATGGGGTACCGATTTCCTGTGGGAAACGGTACGATTTCCCATTTTAAGGATGTTGTCAGCTGCTGGAATAGAATAGAGAATGAGTGCTATGTGACATTTCGTAATTTCTATTGCGAAATGATGTGCACTTTCGATGAATAGTGCCTATGCTTTGAGAATCCTGATTTATTCGGTCAAATCCTGATTTTTTTTCTTGAAAATTCCTGTCCTGATTCCTGATTTTGCATACTAGGCCGCTGCGACTCCTGAAAAACCAATGAAGACAAAGCCTCCGAAATTTTTTCATAATCCATAAATTGGCATTCTCCATCTTAAAGCATTTTACATAGGAAATTGTACATTGCGATTGTTGGTCATTACTGAGTTAGCACATTCGACCCGATTCATTTTTCTTAGAAAATTTTTTCGAGACGTTCATTTTCATGGAGAGTTAACTTCTAATAAATGCACTTAATGACCTTTTCGTTGTCTTCTACTGATTACTTATCGTTCTCTTCATTATATCATTACATCATGAGTCTTTTTTTTGACCCATTGAATAATCGCTCGAGTTACTTTTTCGTTCTTTTTCATTCGAAGCGCAAACTCGCTGATCACATGCTTGAAGAAAAGGAAGGATCTACGCGCAATGTTGGCAGACGGTGCACTGGCTGCTATGCGAAGGGAAGGGCACAACAGTCAAGAGAAGCGAACAATGCAGCAGCAAAGAAAGTAAAAACGTTCTGTTCTGACTGTGATAAATTTTTTTGTCTTGAGTGTTTTAATGATAAGCATTATGCTATGGAATCAAGGATTCAAATAAAGTACTGAAGGCCGAAGATATGACATCTTATGTTTAACCTCCTGCTTAAGAAAAAAGCAAAAGAAAGTGCTTTTCTATACAGTTTATCGTTAAACTATAGCGTCGCCCACCGGTGAGCTACATCGTACCCAATGGGTTAAGTATACTTAGTGATTTTTTCATCATAGAATCAAAGAAATGAATGAAACTAAATGATTGATCAGTCGTTTTATTTCGATCAAACAGTTGCTCCTCTTTCTCACGCCTAAAACACAAATATCAATAATAATATCTTCATAACAGAATCAATACCATTGGACGACCGTATCGATATCTTTAACATTGTAATTTAGTTGAGAAAAGATCAGTAGAAACAAATGAGTAAACGGAAAGTCTCTTCCCGTTTGATGGTCCATTAAATGCATGTAACCTAAAGAATGCTTATTATTAATCCACTATATGATATTCTTCTATCAATCGATGAATTAATAATCACTAAGGACTGTTTCGAAAAAGCTTACTGGACTAAGCATGAGGCTGTGAGTGTGTATGCAAGTGTAGTTGGAGAGAAGATCACACCCATCTACATTCATACCCAGTCCAGCTTATCACAACTTATCTTGAGTTAATCAATGAGAAGAAAATATAGTGCCCCTTTTTTTTTGTTGCTTGAACAGAAAGAAACCTAACACTCCTCATACGAGTTTGATTGCTTGATATTACTAGACATACTTACAACTATTTTTTTTCAGAACAGACCAAGTTTTTAAAAGGTCCACTGTAGTATAAAAGCACAGTTAAAATTTCAATATTGCTAAATAGTCATGCTTGCATAGAGATTATTTCAATATGTTGAGTTGTTTCAAGAAGAGTTTGAGTAAAGGACGTTTTTTGACAAAAGGAATATCTTCATAGTTTAATTTTGAAGTCATTCATTCAACGTGTTGTTTTCTGTAGTCCAACAATTGTTCCATTTGTAGCCAGTAGTCTCCCATCCACATGCTATCCTTAGTCACATTTTTTTTGATCCCTCCAATTGCAGGCGCTATGTCTGAGCAATCCCTTTATTGAGTAAGAAGCTTACAATACTCCTAGAAAAACGTAATCCAAGCCATGCGAAAGTTCTTACCAATTCTTAATAGAATCCTAAATGATGTTGAACATGAATAAAATTTGTCTGAGATTCAGATTTTTCGACTATATCTCATACTCACTTTCGTTGAGTTCTTACTGCACATATTTTACAAGATTTTTCTATCTTTCGATTCTACTTATGACTTGTGTCAGAAGAAACTTATGATAATGAATCACATTAAAATCGAGTTTATATCTCATTGCCCTGTTTTTTTTCATCTTTTAAAACTAATTTCCATACACATTTTGAAAGTGGGTTCTATCGGATCATTGTTACTAATTGACTTAAACTGAGCATTACAACGATCATGAACTACCGAACATTCTGATTTTCGTGATAATATGTAAATGTATACGTGCCTTATTTTGATAGTTGTACTATTCAAATTTGTTTCCAATACGTATGAAGATAAATAGATATAGGTTTAATTAGTGAATAGTTGACAAGTGACATCATAGTTTTTGTTAGCAAAGTAATTTAGAAAGAGAATCGATAAGTTTGATGACCAGATAAACATCTCACAAAGACAATCGTCACAAGTGAATCGGTTTATTGTTAGATCAGAATAGGAAGTCAACAATGAAGTATTTCGAATGACACTTACAGTTATGACGAGTCTTATGAGAAGCGATGACATCATCAATTAAGACAATAAAGAGTCTTATCTTTTAGTAATATTTCTCGTCTTGCTGAACAATTGTATCAAACTGATGACGACAAGGCTGACGTTGATCGCAGTGGTAGATGAATAATTCTTAATTCTAAATACATTTTTTATTTGCAGAAAAAGAGTTGACTGTGATCGCGGATATTTATTCATTCGCTCATTGCGTTCAACAAGTGGAAAATAGACGTAGTCAACCAACATGTTTCCGTTATAAGTGTTTTTCATGTTTCATTGTCTTTTAGCTGTAAAACAAATCAAAATAAAATAATACTAGAGTGTGAGTTCATTGATAACAGAAAGAGTCACAATCACTACCCAATTCACACCCATATCTACATCTTCATCCCTGCATTTACTCAACCCCACTCAAACTAACATCTCATACTGTACACTTCACACTGTTAATTAGTCAGATCAACTGTACATTTAACAGGTTCAGTTGAGTCAACTCTGTCTTTCAATAATACGTTCGTTCTCTTTTCAAGATTGGGTCCAATAAGGCTTCATAGTTCGAGGAGTTACTTGCGGTCGTGACTTTTCGACCTGGGTTTATTTATGCAGTGTTCAGTCCAACGACTCACAGGATGCACTGAAGATATTTCGCATCGAACTGGGCTTTCCATATTCGTCATACTACTTGGAGTCGTATACAACGAGACAATGTTGTGGGGTCCGGAATAAGCACAATTAACAAACCATCGTTTCTTTTCCATCCAAAATAGTGTTTGAAAAGGAGTAATCAATGAGTTTAAAGTAGAAATGATTTCATCATTGGCTTTTGTAAAAAAGAGAAATTCCAACTTTTTCAATAAAGGAACTTTGCTACTGATAAATCGTTCCCAAAAGTGACCGTCGAATACAGAATCAAATTCTCTTTGTCTTAAAGAAGTTACTTTGAAATGGAGAAGACCAGGTGTTACTGAAATCATTAATTCAAGTTGCTTTGTAGAAAGTGTACAGTCAGCAATTATTAACGAGGTCAATAATGTATTGAACTGAGAGTTTAAATTTGTGACAATTGTATCGTCCACATCAGTATCATGCATGGTGCAGCAATTTGTTTGAAATGTTCGTAAATAAGGTAAGTGATTTAGAATAGCAATATAATCACTGTATGAACACGTACCGATTTTCAAGTATGTTAATTCGTAATGATCTGGCCATGATATACAGGCCGTGCTGTACTTGAAATTATTTAAACATATTTTTCGAATTTTATACCTAAGAATTATTGACGAGATAAGAGAAATAAGGGATGTTCTTGTTTTACTGTTATTTTCACTCAAATCGATTACTAGAGAAGTGAGTGAATTGGTTGTTAATTGTTGGAAGAAATATTCAAGTTTTTCAACACTGATACCGCGAACTGTGACTGCTCGAAGTTGAGTGAACAGACGAATATCGATAGAAGGATGAAATAAGACAATGTGATTGAAACAACTAGTATTACTGCGGATGTTTAGATATGCGACGTTTTTCGGATTAAGAATATGATAAAACGAGTTGACATCCAATGTTGGGTTTAAATTAAATTCAAGTTTAAATCGATAATAAGTGTTGACATATGAACAGAGCCGTTTACAGGTCAGATTAATTGAATAGAGAATATTTTGAGTGTCACAGTAATCAAATATGCGATGAATCAATTCGACAGGTAGTGTAAAAAGTGGTGTATGTTCCATTTTCGTTGCTCGAACGAATGTGATCAAGTGTTGTTGCTGTTTCTTGGAAACGTATGAGTCTCTAGTGATATTTTTACATTTACATCTCTATAGCAATAGCCTAATAGATGGACTGTTTACATCTATTGAGACCAAAACGAAGTACACGAAGTGTTTTAAAAATTCTGAGAGAATTTAGATCGTACAGAAACTACAGATTTAGTCGAATGTGACGGCTAATCCGCCATTTACTTTTAGCAAAGAAGTTGCAAAGCTTTTCCTGAACTTCTTTACATCAATGCATAGCGACAGATCCATTGTTTTAATGATGAATGTGTGGACACCCTTGTTGTCAGCCACTGTCTTTTAGAAAGATATATGACTTCGTGCTGGAAAGCTCGAAAAACGAGTGAGAAGTCGAATCATGAAAAGTGAACAGTAGTATCATCAGATAAAATATACACAGTATAGTAGTTCATCTGACAATAAAATCAAGAAGTACACACAAAATAATAAATATAACAAAGCTATAAAATAAAAGAAGAGTAAAAGCCTGATTGCCGATCTGATTAGTTTTGAATTAGTACTAAAAATTACAAAATGTATGTGTTTCAGATCCTCAAGAGAGTCGGTGTTTCTTTTAGGCTTTGATCGCGTTCCATTTCAAACGAAAGATGGTGAGTGCGGGCAGAATGAATGGGATGGCAGTATTCTTTTTATTTATACGCACATCAGTCATACTCACACCCTCAAAGAAATAAGGTAAACATTACATAGTAACACACAAACCATAACATATGGTAGTTTTTAACTGTTTCTTTGTATTTTTATCATCGACTCAGACCTAATAAGAGACCCTTTTCTCTCAATACTATGATACTTACAGTTAGTGACTAATCAAAGAATGTGCATGCAATCGTAAGAAACCAACAGTGAAAATAAGTTGTGCTTCTCTTTTATTTTTAATATAAAAAGGAAGTGTCGTCACATAAGAAAATACTTCGTTCTGTTCTGAAGTAAAAAAGAAAAATACAAGAAAGCGAAAAAATATTCACGTGAAACTACCTCAATGGTGTATATTCTGACGAAAAGAGTCTTGCGTGAATCACCAATCGACTATATTAGGCACTACCAGTGATGATATCTAGTTCACATTTTCACATAAGAAAAAAATTACAATAGAAATAGTGTAAATAAGATGCTCTGCAAAACTATATATTTTATTTTTGTCTCAAATGAGTATTATGCACTAGACGTCGCTACACTACAAGTATCGAAGTGGTTTCCAATGAGTTTATTGTACGCTTGTCGTGATTTAAATTCATAATGGTGTCGCTGTATGTAACATCTGTGAAACATCACCAGATAAATATGGTTATTTATATTCATCGAATATATCTGCTATGCTCAAAAGCTATCATCCGAAAAAAGGCAAATACTCTGAAAAATAGGGTGTGGGTGTGATTGTGGGTGTTACCATATACTAGATCAACAACAACACTCACAGCCACAGCCACACCCCTTTTCAAATGATTTCAGACACCTCTTCACTACCACCTTTACCTCATTTCGCATCTATGATTCAACGATAGCGAATTCGATAGGCTATTTCATACACATTCGATTCTCTCTCGGCAAACAGATGTGGATGCACATGAGTAAAAAATACTGATATCGGTACCAACACCGACATTCTACAATAACAGCTGCAGCCATACCCACATCCACATACACTCACACCCATCTTACACCACCCACACTCTTCGTGCAATCAAATCATGTGTAACTGAGTCGGAAAAAAATTGTGTTCGAACTTTGAGTTACATTCTAAGTAAAATAATAATTCAGAATATGATTAAATAATAGCATCAAGAGAATATATTCAATTTCTGATCCGCGGTGTACACGGTATCGATAACTTGTCGATTCGTAGCATCATGGACTAATGCGTTCCAGTGAGAGTTCTGCTCGGCTAGCCAGCCTAAATTACCGAAGATGTACAAAGCACGGCATGCTCTTGTGAGCATTACATTTAGACGATGTTCGTCACGTAAAAACCCAATCGTATCACTATCACAATTTCTTACGCTTCTTACACATGATATGAGAACAATATCCTTTTCTTTTCCTTGTGCATTGTCCACAGTCATCGTTTCTATTTGACGCGGAAATTCCAGTTTTTTTTCACGAAACAGATTCATTTGTTTTTTGTACGGCGTGATAACCATGATACGTTTTTCCATTTCGATAAATTCTTTATCATCTTTAACATACGGTTGTCGTCCAACTAGGCTCTCAAGTAGTTTGATGCAGAATTTTTTGATGAAAATTCGCTCTTCTTTGTTATGTGATGATCCACCATTTGGTGGAGACGTATGTTCTGTATAAGTCAAGTTATATAAGTAATAAGGTTCAAGAGGATAGTCCGGCCAATAATTTGTTGCGCTTTGATGTGTCTCAAGTTGATCTTGATAGAAATGATCGCTTGGAAATTTACATATTTCGTCATGCATACGATACTGTGTAGTAAGTAAAGTAATACTTTCTGGATGGATGTGAGAATCAAGTCGAGTGTATAGTGATTGCGACAGATTGTGGCTTTGGCCAACGCCACTGAGAACACACGGCGGAAGCTGTTTTGGATCACCGACGAGTATAATCTTATAGCAACCGAAATAAAATGGTAAAAGACAATCAGCTTCGAGACTTTGACAAGCTACACAGTAACTGTCAGAAATATGTAGAATAGTACAGATAAAGAAAATTTACCTTCGTCAATAATAATAAATTTAATCAATTTCTTCTTTTTAATCGATAGAAGTGTGTTATTCGCTGTATAGTTCAAAGTTGAAATGATAACTTTAGCCCTTTTTATAATCTTTTCCTTTAAACAGTCTGCCGTTTCATATGTTACTGGCTGTTCATTCTGCATTTGATTGACTAGCTCTTCCATCGTAAGCGATTCAAGAAAATGGTCACAAACACTATGGTCAAGAGGTTCTGCGCGACCTACTCGCACCAGTGTTCCTATGCAGTCAGTAAACTCATGTCTGTGATTAAGCACAAAAAGTAATATTAACCTGTTTCATATTTAGAATCAAGTTCATTTAAAATTCGCTTGAGCAGTTCGTCACATGCATTGTTTGATGGTGCACAGAGTAAGATTTTTTTCCCTTCGCTTAATTTTGGTAGAAGTCGTATAACAATACCAGCAATTGTTTTACTTTTTCCAGTACCTACATTAAGGGATGTCGCTTAGATTTTATGAAAATAGTTTTTTGAAAGAAAGGAAACAAGACCTGGTGGACCGTGCACAAGATGCAGCCGGTCAGTTACATTCCAACTAGACATTCGTTCTGCATAGTTAATCACCCGCATTTGAGCAGGATTAAAACTATTAAGTACCGGTTCTTGAAAATTTTCAAGTTTCTCATGATGATAATAGGGGTCTGTACTTGGTAGATTGAGTAGAGCTCTGCGTTTTTCTTCTGGCAGTGAGTGCAGATTATAAATAGCACTTATGTGTCGCCGAGATGACGTCATATTGCTCAATTTAGTTAAAGAAATTTTGTATAATCCTGTTTTTCTAGAATGTTGTTTCACAGCATCTGAACATTTTTTTGAAGCATACAAGACAATTTGAGATTCTACTTGAATAATATTCTTTGTGTTGTTAGAATCCGATGAATTTTCAATTGAGACATTCTCTATGTCTGCTGGCCAAAAGTCTTCAACGTGAACAATAATAGCAAAAAACTTCTGATGGTCATCTTGAGAATCAATGTTGACTAGACAGATATCGCATAGACCGAGCTTTGGAAAGGATTGACTGAATAAAAGATCAATCTGGAAATTATACGAACCGAAAATTAAGGCAGTTGGAATTACTGGTTCAGATTGATCTATTAATCGTGTAGTTTTATATTTATGTTCGTTAATTTGAATTTCAATATCGCCAGCATTTCTTAATAAGTCATACTCCTTCGTATCACGCTTAATTTCTTCCCAGAGTTCATGATAAAGAAGAGGCACAAAACATTGTTCATATTGAACTTGTGCAGCTTTAATATCAAAAATATCCTCATGCTGTGACTTACCTGAAAAGAAAAACTATTGGGTATGTTTTTAGATTTGTTGCATTCAACTTACTGAACATCTGTGGCACAGAAACTAAGCTGTCAGGTGTCAAACTTGTATGCAAAGCAGAAGTAGAAACGCGAGAATTTTGCGATAGATAGGCGGGCTTCCATCTCGTGACGATACGATCGAACAAAGTTCGAATGCCGGCATGAACCTGCGGTTGCCACACAGATCGTTGTGATGGATCCTGAATCCATGTTTGTGCGATCTGATACTCAAAAAGATGTAAAGCAGTCACGACACGTCTTTTAAATCTGCTCAAAATACGTGCCTTGATCCAGAGATTACGACTGTGAGGATCTGTGAGTTTCAATTGAAACCATGTGTGTGCCGTGTAAGTACCATCAGGTGCGACTGGATTTGCCATCAGTATTTATCTGAAAATGGTAAAAAAAATAATTAATTTGATAGAAAAAGTCGGAATAGTTTTGTTTCTATTTGCAAAGGGTCTCACATTTGAATCATAAGTACGAGGTGACGAGCATATTGTCTCGTTACTATAGAGTAATGTGTAACAGAACGAGTAAACTTCAACTATTGTTTCAGTATATTTTGTTTTTATTTTTATTTTCGTGACGTTGTAACGACGATGTCGCATTCTCAAACCTTTCTATGTAACCATTCTTCGACTATTGACACGTTTCAAAAGTGTTTACATTCCTTTAAGCAAACGCGTTTCTCATCATCCAAAATTTGAACAGTTTTAAGTGCCTATACGTGGTGTGGGTATGAGTGTCAAGGAAATAAGGATGATCACACCCATATCCTATAAGAATGTTCATTCCATGTTGATGGAACTACCAAAGTAGTCTTTTCAAAAATGAAATTACCACAAAATCTCTTGGAAAGTTGAGTGGAAGGTCGAAGATCTTTCACAAAAGTCTGTTAAAAATTAGTTTTTTTTTTAAATTTATATATTCTAAAAGAGAAAACTTCACTGCATCTTCCTGCCATATAAACTCGACTTCGATTACTTTTCAAAAAAAAAAGAATTTTCTAAGCGAATCTCTTGGAGGTTTTACTGCGATAGGAGATCGAATATGCATGTGTATTGAGCGAGTACTGCTAGAGAAGCAATATTTATAAGTATGTGAACGATTTTTCTCACCTTCTTTCAGCCACTTGTACAGAAAAACGAAAATAAACAACTACACACTTACATAGTTTCTCTAGAGAGTGAAAAACAAGCACTGCATAACTACTTTAATATTTTGCAATAATTTCGATAGAAATGAAAGAAAATGTGCACAACATACCTATTGTCACATGGTAGCCAAACAAAAAATTTATTGATATTCAACACAACATAGAGCATCTTCAAATAGATCTGCATCACTGATCATCAACTAACTATCACAAAAGAAAAATATTCGATAGAATGCTTGGTAGCTGGTCATAAAAAAGCATAAGATGATAAGAAAAGGGGGAGTAATAATATGATACATATCATGAATGAAACCGTTCTACTACACACAAAGTCAAATATCTCTACATAGAAATAGAATCGAATTTCAG